CTCCCTCTCTCCCTCCCTACCTCCCCCTCATCTTGATTTTCTTCTCTTTTTTCAATTTAATTAAATTCTCGTAATTTTAAGTTCGTAATAATAATAATAATAATAATAAATTTTTCACCATTTTCCTTTTTTTTCCTATAGAAAGGAAAAGGAAAGAAAAACTGGACAAATTCACAATTTGAATTCAAAAATAGTTTCCAACGAAAAAAAAAAAAAAAAAACATAAATTTTCTCCATTACGTTATTAAAAGCCAAAAAAAAAGGATGGAAAAAGAAAAGGAGGAGGAGGAGGAGGAAGAGGAAAAGGAGGAAGAACGTAAAGAAAATATTAAAAAAAAAAAAAAAAAACCTTTAAACGAAAAAATACTTAATAACGAACAAAAGCGTGGGATCAGAAAAGATTCGAGAAAAAAAAAAAAAAATTAAAAGAAAAAAAAAAAAGGAAAATTATTATAAAAAAAAAAAAGGAAGAAAAAAAAAGGAAAAAAGGAAGGAAGGAAGGAAGGAGAAAAAAAAAAAGTTGGAAGGAAAAGACGTAGAAAAGGTTATAAAAATGTTTTAATCCCTAAATGTGATTAAAAGGGATTAAAAAAATAAATGGAGCAAAAATTAACTCTAAGACAATTTTTAAGACTTCATTCTATCGAAAAATTAACGAGACCTCGTAAAGATATTATAAAAAAAAAAAAAAAAAACTAACCTATAAGGAGAAGAGGGTAAAAAAAAAAAAAAAGAGAAAGATGGAATGAATGAAAGAAAAAGATAGATAGATAGACGGAGACAATAAAAAAAAAAAAATCTGTCGTGACTCCTCCAAGAGTAAAAACGAAGACGAAAAAAAACCCTCCATTATCGAATCTTTTTTTTTTATGTATAAATTTTCGCACGGATTTATCTTCGTAATTATTATTATTATTATTATTATTATTATTATTATTATTATTATTATTACTGTTTGGATTTTGGTCCAGTCACACATCCTTACATCTCTCACGGAATGGGAAAATGAGAAAGGGCAGAGGAGGGGAAAAGGGAAGATGAGAAAACTTTTAAAAATCCTCTCTCTCTCTCTGGCTCTCTCTGCCTGGTTCTCTCTCTTTCTCTCTCTGGCTCTCTTTCTTTCTCTCTCTCTCTCTCTCTCTGGCTCTCTCTGCCTGGTTCTCTCTCTCTCTCTGGCTCTCTTTCTTTCTCTCTCTCTCTCTCTCTCTTTCTCTGGTTCTCTTTCTCTCTCTTTCTATGGTTCTCTCTCTCTTTCTCTTTTCCACATTGTCTTTAAGTGATACTTCCATTTCCGTTTCCGTTTCCCCCTCCCCCCAAAATACAAAACCGACAGAAAAAGTTTGAAAAATTTTTTTTTTTTTTTAATGACGGCACTGATTCTTCTTCTAACATGTCTAGGTCACGCCGTTGATTGAATAATTTCCTTTATAAAATTCGTTTTTATTTACGCGAACTAAGATGTCACTTTTTTTTTCTATTATTATTATTATTATTATTATTATTATTATTATTATTATTATTATTATTATTATTATTGTGGCAATTTTCTTTTTTTCAATCGCGAGCGAACACGCGCACGCACACGTATACACAACCCGTTGAAAATATTTCATTTTACATAAAACACAACCGACATCGTTATAATAATAATAATAATAATAATAATAATAATAATAAATAAAATTTAACCGGAAATCAAAGCGGAAATAATAATTATTTATAAATAAATATATATACTCGATTTATGCGTAATTATTATTGTCACGCAGAAAAAAAAATTATTTATATACATAAATACATAAATAATTTTGTCGTCTGCTTGACTAACGTACGGATTTGTTTACATAAAGTATCCACGTTAAAATCAATCAATCAATAACTTTTACTCATTTTCATTTCTTATCGACATTATTATTATTATTATTAATATCGTAATTAAGTATCCGTACGTTCCCCTATTAATGACTCGTGGGATGACGTACATACATAAATACATAACTCATTTTTAATAAATTTAAATATTAATAATAATAACGATGATGATTTTTTTTCTCGAAATTCAATCGCGAGTAATGAAAACTACATAAAAAAAAAAACAAGATGGCGACATTTTGAAATTTTCATGTAATACTCTGAGTAAAAAAAAAAAAAAAAAAATAGTAATAATAATAATAATAATAATAATGATTTAGAAGCTGCGGCACTGAAGGCGCCGCGGATATGGCTGTTGTATATGTAATTCACGGCCCTAATTCTAGTTTCGTTCCACATAACCGTTTGATAATAACAAAAACAATAAAATCGGACGCGAGGATTTTCTTTTTTCTTTTTTTATTTATTTAAAATTTAAAAACTTATTAATAATAATAATTATTATTATTAACATCATTTGAATAAATAAAATTAAAAAAGAAAAAGAAAAAAGACGTTAAAAAAATGAACGGGAAAACTTATGAAAATAATTTTTTAATAAAAATTTCGAATCACGTGATCGTTTTTATATGTTTTTTTATTACAAAACGCGTAAAGTGTTCGTCGACGTGAAATAATAATAATAATAATAATAATAAAACAAAACCGGAAATAAATGTAATTTTAAAAATTTTCTTGTTCGGCGTGGAAATTGTTTTTACAAAAAAAAAATATTTGTCGGAAAAGTTTTCAAACGATCGGAAAGAATCAGTGCCGAAATTTCAACCCCCCTCCATCCCCATCCCGTTAAAGCCCTCCCCTCACTCCTCCCCTCTCCCCTCTCCCGAAAAAATTCAAATTTTACGTACGAAAACCTTGTTTTATGATAATAATAATAATAATAATGATATAATTACTTACGAGCTATTGTTTTCAATAAAAATGTTTTAACAATGGCAATGAATTGTGAACACACGTCTGTGGGGAAGGTCGGGAAAGATTTACGAAAATGAAAAAAAAATTTTCTTCTTCATATTTTTCCTTTTGTGTGTGTGCGTGTGTTGCTTGCGTACTTTGACCTTTTTTCATTTGATTTTTCTTATCAACCTGAAAAAAAAAAAAAAAAAGTCAAATTATAAATTCGGTCGTATTTTTTTTTTTTTCTTCTTCTTCTTCTTTAGAATATCATCTTTCATTCGAAGAACGTTACGATTTACGGTTATGAAAAAAAAAAAAAACATAAAACGAATCACGTCGTGTTATTTTTTCATAACTATTTTAAATCGTTCAAATTAATTGTAATAAAACGTTTAAATGTTGTTAGCCTTGGCTTGGTTACTAGCAAGTTTATCTATTTCCCTGCAGTTTTTCTGCTCTTTCCTACGCACGTTTTTCTTTGCTATCACAAAAAAGAAAACCTTAAAATAAAAAAAAACCTTTTACGAGTAGAAACCTGGAATAAATTCTTAAAAATCTCGACAAATAAGAATCTTAAGAGTGACCATAATAATAATAATAATACATTTAAATAGAACGAAAGGCAGGCATTTTCATACAACAACCGTCATTAATTATTTTTTCTTTTTGTTAATTGTTTTACGTTTGTTTTTTGTCGTTGTTGTTGTTGTTGTTGTTGTTGTTGTTGTTGTGTCGAATCCTACAATGTAATAATTATTTTTTGTAGTTTCGATTAGAAAAAAAACCATTTTCGTTAACGATAATGATAATTTCCATTTTTTTCTTTTTTTTTTTTTAATTTGCAAAATTCATTAATGCGTTCGCTTTATTTTCTATTTTTTTTTTTTTTTTAAATACACTCAAGTAATTACATAACCATTATTATTATTATTATTATTATGAATTATGTAACGTCATAATAAAATGTTATGATTAGAAATATAATCGTTACTCTGATAAAAATTACGTGTAAAAATAAATAAATAAATAACAAAGAGCGGCCATTTTTTTTTTTTTTAACTAAACTTTTTTTATTTTCAAGACCCCCCCCCCAAAAAAAAAAAAAAACGTTTATGACAAAATTAAATATCGAAAAGTATAGTATAATAATAATAATAGTGATGATGATGATGATGATGATGATGATGATGATGATGATGATGATAATGATAATGATAAATAATTTTTTTTGTTTGGGGGAGAAAATCCCGTTTTTGAAACGATATTAATTTTCCAAAAAAAAAAAAAAAAAAAAAACCCAATGAATTTTTCCATTTTTGTCGGGGAAGCAGAAAAATGGCAATGAAAATGAAACAAACCCCCCCCCCCCCCCCCCCCCCCGTAAAAAAAGTAAAAATTAATAAATTTTTGTTACATATACGATCATTGTCCGAAAATAATCATCAACAAACAAAATCAACCCAAAAAAAAAATAAAAAAATAAAAAAAAAAATTTTTTTATTTGTTTTGTTATCTTTTCGATTACCAAAGTCTTTCTTTGCGCCCGTTTTTTTTTTTTTTTTTTTTAGTCCTTTTAGTTATTTTATATGTTTCGCTCCGAAATATTATAAAAATTATTATTATTATTATTATTTTTTTTTTTTTAACAATCGGGACAAAAATCGATTATCGATTTTTATTTATCGATCGACAATTACATTCAAAGTAATTTATAAATATTTTTAACGTTTTTTTTTTTTTTTTATTGCTTATTAATAAGTGCGCAACGCGATATTTAATTAAATTTTTTATTTTTTTTACGCGGGAAAAACGATTTTTTTTTTTTTTTAAATATTATAGATAATGTCGTTTTTATGATAACAGGTATGATAAACTTTAAAACAACAACAACAGCAACAAAAAAAAATAAAATAATTTTATAAGAAAAAAAAAATTTTTTCCCCAACGATTTCGGATTAATAATAATAAAAATTAATATTTAATATTCGTAATCGGATTATTATTATTATTATTTTGTTAATTTTTCTTTTTTTTTTTTGGGGGGGGAATTTATTATCATTATCATCGTTTGTGTGTCGATGTAAATAAGTGTTTTAAAATCTAAAAAAGAAAAAAGTGAAGAGAAAAAAATAAATACAGGAAAACATTAACAAAAAAAAAAAAAAAAAAAAATGGAAGCGGGAGAACAAGAATTGAAACTTTTAAACGATAATAATAAAATGGCGGCGACGGTGACGGCGGTGACGACGACGACAACAACAACGACAACAACAAATTTCCTTAACGTGAATCATACAAATCACGAAGGAGTAGAAAAAGAAAAAAATACGATCGACGTAAGAGATTTCGAATTAATAAATGAAAAATACGAAATGGAAAAAGTCATAAGGAGACCATCTTCTGCTTTACCTAAAAGTCCAACCGTCACGTCGGAAGAAATGGACCAATATTCGGACATGTTTAAAGATATGCCACTCACGGAGGAAACAACGTGCGGAATATCATGTTTTCGAAGTTCTTTCCTACAGAAATTTGCAAATAAAAAAGTTTACGTTTTGCTTTACGGCCTTTTGGGGTGTTTCAATTCCGCAACCTATGCTTATTTTAACGGAACAATAACATCGTTAGAAAAAAGATTTAGAATATCTAGTAGAACGACCGGTAAATTTTCTCCTACCACGTCCATTCGATATAATCATTCTTCTGCCACTGTAAAAAAATTTCCTTTTAATTCCATCCATTTGTTTTGTTTTAGGTTTGATATCCGTTGGAAACGATATAAGTCAAATTTTTATTTCCGTTTTTTTGAGTTATTATGCCGGAAAAGGACACAGACCCAGATGGATAGCTTTCGGTATGTACACGGTCGTTTTGTTTTGTTTGCTCACTGCCTTGCCTCACGTTTTGTACGGGCCGGGAGAAGATTCACTACAGCTAACCGTGGAATATGGCGGTCAAGCCAATTTGAACGCATCCGATACGTTTGCATGTGAGTTTTAACAAAACAAAAATTTTCAACCAATAACAAAGCAGACGAGTAAAAAATTTGTTTTGTTTGTTTTTTTCCAGTTTTCGAAAAGCAAAAAAAAAAAACATTATGCGACACGAATCGTACCGTGGGTTGTATGAAAGAAAGCGAAGATTTATATCCGAAAATGATTTTATTCGTTGCACAATTGATCGGTGGTGTCGGGGGAAGCGTTTACTATTCCCTCGGTGTTACTTACATGGATGACAACATTCAAAAATCAAAAACACCCGTTTTAATAAGTTCGTTATATAAAAAAAAATCCGAATTGTTAAATTTATAAAAAACAAATTTTCTAAAAAATAATTTTTTTTTCAGGTTTTGCTTATTTTTTAAGAATGTTGGGTCCCGCCATCGGATATGCTTTGGCATCTTTTTGTTTAAAACTTTACGTTTCACCAAATTTACATCCGACGATTAATTTAAACGATCCTCGATGGTTGGGTGCTTGGTGGTTGGGTACGTACAAATTCGATCCCTAACCGAATCCACCCGTAAAAATTCCCACAATAATTATTATTATTATTATTTTATTTTCAGGTTGGCTCATTCTCGGCGGTATATTAGCCTTTTTATCAGCATTGATAGCATTATTCCCGAAAACATTACCCCGAGCTGCGGTGAGGAGAGCAATCGCGTTAGAAAAAAATAAAGGTCAACCTCAAGAACCGGAAACTAAACCGTCTATGAAAGGTTTTTTATTATTATTATTATTATTATTATTTCGCTGTAATTAATTATCGATTGATTTATTTCCGGATTAAAAAATTTTTTTTTTTTGTAAATCAGACATGTTGACAACAATAAAAAGGCTCATGAAAAACAAAACGTACGTTTATAATAATTTGGCATCAATTTTTTACTGCATCGGTTACATGCCCTATTGGATATTCATGCCTAAATATATAGAAACGCAATATAAATTGAGTGCTAGTTATTCGAGTTTCGTCACAGGTATGTTGTATTCATTTTTGAGATACGATACTCTTTCCTGTACAAAAAATATATTTTTTTTTCAGGTACGGTTGGCCTAGTGTTCTCTGCCATAGGAGTTGTTTTGTCCGGTATCGTTATAAGCAGGTACAAACCGAGAGCAAGGATATTAGCCGCTTGGAACATGTTTATAGGAGTCATATCCGTTTTGGGAATGATATCTTACATGTATTTGGGTTGTGATAATCCAACGGAAATCAATTCAACCGTACAAGAGTGAGTTTTTCACGTTTTCCTCAACAACAAAAAATTTTCTCAAACCGGTAAATACCATTTTTTTTTGAATTTTCCAGTTACAACGTGACGAAAACTTGTAATTTAGATTGCAAATGTGATTACATATCATATTCTCCAGTATGTTCTGAACACCACGAAACATTCATATCACCCTGTCATGCAGGTTGTAGGGAATCGTATAGCTTAAGTAAAAATAAGGTAACGAATTCGTAAAAACGAGTGACTCGAAAACGCCTCGTGCCGCCATATTTTTTTTTTCGAAATATTTTTAAATTTTAGAAAGTATTTACCGAATGTTCTTGCATCGAACCCAATCCGGAGAATCCATTTGGAAATTTAACATCGGAAGAAATCGTTAATCCTTCATCGCCTTTCGGAAAAGCCATATCGGGGACGTGTCCATTAAATTGCAGCACGGCATTTCATATATTTTTAGGAGTTGTTTGCATGTTGAAATTTTTCGGTGCGACAGGAAGATCATCTAATTTTTTAGTGGGAGTACGTTGCGTAGAAGAAAAAGACAAACCCGTTGCCATGGGTTTTTCAGTAACGGTTTTAAGTTTATTCGCATTCGTACCCTCTCCAATTTTATTCGGTTATATATTAGGTACTTAAATGCCATACCTAAAACGATTGAAAATTATTTAATACATGTATCAAACAACGTTTTTTTTTTTTTTTTTTTTCAGATACCACGTGTATGGTTTGGGGTAAAACATGTACGGGAACGGGAAATTGTTGGTTGTACGACGGTTACAATCTAAGATACGTTATGAACATAATAGCAGCAAGTAGGTATATGCGAAATTTGGTAACATGAAATATGTTTTGAAACATAAAACATACAATTATGTTTGTATATCGTTTTAGTTCTCGTAGCAATAGGAACATTTTTCGACGGATGCGTTTGGTATTACGTTAAAGAATTAAAAATATTTGACGAAGAGATTAAAATAAAAGCAGTAGGAACGGGAGATTGATAAAGTGATAATAATAATAATAATAATAATAATAAATGAAAAGAGGTTAATCGTTTTATCAAAAATCAAACCAAATAAAAAGGTGAGAAACCAAAGAGAAAGCATCCATATCTTAAACATAACGCATTTAAAAAATGTTTTTCATTTACCTCTGTATAAATAAATAAATAAATAAATAAATAAAAACAACAAGAGATAAAATTCATCTTGTTTTTTATAAATAAATAAAAATATTTATTTAAAATCGAACTTTTTAAGATTTAATAAATTAATTTTATATTAATATAATTTTAATAAGATATCAATCAATCAATCAATCGGATATCTTATTTATTTATTTAATCCTTTCAATAATTAATTAATTCTTTTTTTTTTTAAATAAATAAATATTTTTATTTTAAATTAAATATTTTTTTTTTTTTTTTTTAAAGGGGAGGGGTTATTAATTTATAAATTATTATTATTATTATTATTAAAAAAAAAAAATTAATAATAATAATAATAAGTACCTGAAACCATAAAAATAATAATGAAAAACGAAAAATGTGGGAAAAATAAGAATTTTTAAATAGGCTTAAAACCAAGAATTATCAATTAAATACGTTTTTGAAAAAGATTTTTGAGGTTTGAAAAATCGCTTTCGTTCGTAACAGCAAAAAAAAAAAAAGATGGAGGAAAAAAAAGTTTTTTTTTATTCTAATAAAAAACTTTTCCCCCTAAATCTCTTTTTTTTAATTTTATTTTTCCCGTTTAAACTATTTTTCGTTTTTTTTTTTTTTTTTTTTTTTTTTTAACAAGATAAAAAAAAAAAAAATTATAATTAACCTGAGATTTTAAAAAGTGGTTTGTTTGCCCTTTGGAAAACTCATTATGGCATTAAATATTAAAATTTTCTTTTCGGTTTGAATAAGTCAAAAACAAAAATTTTCTTTTTTTTCTATCGACACTAATAACCATTTTCAACCTGTAATAATAAAATAAATATTAAAAATTATTACTTAACAATTTTTTTTTTCATTTTTCTTTTTTCAATCGAATTCACATTATTTATTATAAACAATTTCAAAATATGTCATTTTTTATGGTAAACTTACTTGAGAAATAAATACACAAAAAGATCCATTTTATACATCTTTTCGAATGAGACTTGGGTTAACTGATAATCGTAAATGATCTTCACATCATGAAATGCTTCATAACATGTAATCAATTATAATAAAAGAAACAATTAAAACATTTTAAATTAATTAAAACAATAGTTTACAAAAAATTTCTCATCATAAATAATTTAAAATTATCATTAATTAATTCATAATTAAAGAATTACATAAATGAATTTGATTTCTATAAATAATTACATATTTTTAATAAAATTAAATAAAATAAATACCGGAAATCAAATAATAGTAATAATAATAATAATAATAATAAAATTTTTTAATAACAATACATTAAATTTCATCGAATTAATAATCATAATAATAATAATAATAATAATAATAATGAATCCAAAATATAACTAAATTAAAAAAGAAAGTTGAAAAAAAAAAAAAAAAAAAAAACTCGATTAAAATAAATATTTAATTAATTTTTTTTTTTTTTTTGACTTCATAAATATAATAATTATGTAATTACTAAAATACATTAATAATTTTATTAAAAATTAAATAATTGTTAACATATTTATATAAGTATTAAAATTTTAATAATAACAATAAGAAAGTTATCGAACAAATTAAACGTGGTAAAATATTTTTCTTTTAACAATTTACTCGAGTAATTCGAAAATGAATAATGGCTACAATATTACAAATGATAATCGAGTTTTTTTTGTATAGTTTAAAAAGAAGACAATGTTATGACAAAAATTTGATGATAACTTACATTAATAAATAGTTTTAATTAATAAATTCTAAATAATGTACATCAGATGATCTAATAATTGAATTTGGTACTTCAACATAAGGTGTCGATAACTTTTCAACTAATATATTTTCAAATTCAATATCGTTACCCTTAAAATTCCCTTTGACGGTGTTATTAGAATATAAATGTATGGAACATTCTTTACCTAAAAAGAAAAAAAAAATAAATAAATAATAATGATTAACACTTAACAAAACTTAAATTATGAATTAAAATGTTTTTACTTTTATTTAATTAAAATAATTTACATGAACAATTGCAATCATCATTATAATAAAACCTGTCATTAAGTTTTCTTATTGGGAAAAAATTTCTAACCTAATTGAAATTAATTGAAACAATAAAGAAAAAAAAAAACGCACCAACTAAAGTTGTAACGGCTCTTAGAAATTTTTCTCTTAACATACTTCTAATTTTTTGTTTTTCATCATAATTATTTTCACTCGAAATTAACAAATTACTCGCGTTTAAATCCATAATAAGCGAATTAAAAACGAGAAGAAAAAATGAGAATATTCGAATCCGTTCTTGAGCGGTTGAAAATTGTCAGTGGTGCCAACGGCAAAATGACTGAAGAATCAAAAAAAAAAAATGGCGGTTAATCAAACTTTTAAAAAGTAAACATTTATTTATTTTAAACAGTAATAATTACGAAAGTAACGGTGAAATTGTTGTTTTCAACAATAAAAACAAAAAAAAAGTTCACCAACAATAAAAATTTTACTTTTTTTTAACCGTGAAAAATTAAATTAATTAGTAATTACTTTCATTTTCATTCGTTTCGCCCTCTGCCGCGTTTCTACAAATTATTACGTAACGGAAAGTAAATGAAAATAAAAAAAAATAAAAAAATTTTATTCTTATTATTTTAAATTTATTATTATAAACAATTATTAATTGTTTATCATCTAAATTTTATTTCCGTATCGTAATATGAAATTTTTTTTTTTTTTTTTTGAATTCACAAGAGATACAATTTGTAATATATTTAATAAAAACCTATTCAATTCAATTGAAAAAAATTATGCAAATAAATTTCTCGTAATTACGTGATTTTTTTATATATATATATATAGAAAAACAAAACTTACCAACATAAGAAAACTAAAAACTAATAATAATGACTAAAAAAAAAAATAATCCGGATATGACAAAAGGTGAAACCCTGAAAGAGTTATTGGCTCGGCAAAAGAAAAAGATGGAAAATCACATATGCTGCCCACTGTTTAACTTACAATTTATATAAGAAGAATTATAAGAAGAAGTGGTTTTAAATGAATCCTTTCATTACTTGTATTCCTCATTCAACATTATTTTCCCCCCTTTTCAATACATATATATTTTATGCAGGGGAACATGTGTAGAATTTTCAATTGAAAGTTTTTTTTTTTTTTTTTTTTTTTTTACACATTTAAATTAATAAGGGTCTAACTAATGGATAACCTTCACGTTTTCAGCTGGCCTTATATTTAGTTAATCCAAATTTTAGGTAAAATCACATGTATTATTATTAATTTTAAAAAAAAAAGATTATCATCGTCTGGAACTCGTCTGCTTCTTCTACTTCTACCTCATGCAAAACTAAACCTTTTTTTTTGACTCATTTAAAAAAAAAAAAATGTCGATTGTTGTAAAAAAAAAAAAAAAAAAAAAAAAAAAGAAAAAGGTAAAAATGCTAATTAATAAAACTGTCATTTGCAATTACATTAACACAATATAAACATTTGTACAATTTTGCAACAATGGATTTTAGTATGAAATTAAATTTTTTCCCTTTTCTTTTTTTTTTAATTAAAAGAAAGTTTTACTTATATGTATTTTATAATTAATCATATTCTTTTTATAATTCGAAACGAAAAAAAAAAGAAAAAAAAATGTTTGTAAAAAAAAAAAAAATAATATTATTATTATCATTATTATTATTATTATTTACACGGGTAATGAGAATTTTTCTTTTTAAATTATTATTATTATCATTATTATTATCTTTCCATAACTTTTACTTTTTATATACATAAATGTATGTGTTTAAAAAAAATTCCGGTTGATGAATTATTCTTTGATTTATTTTACTCGTTTAATACTTATCATATGGATGACGTCATTTAAAAAGTCGGGAGAAAAAAAAGTAAATAGTTATTATTATTATCGTAGCGTTTTTATTATTATTATCATACTATGTTTTTGATAAGTTTTGATTTTTCTTTTTTTACGTTAATTCTTACTACATCGTAGAAAAAAAGAAATTTCGCATAGTCATCCGACTAACGACTTATCTAAATTTTCGTACCTTTCCCTATTACGTCACTGACATAACAAATAGTAAATTAGAAAATGTAAAAGGAAGATTTTGAGTTAAACCCCCCATGTACCCTTCATACATTAAACCCAACCCGTATTCTAACAGTCAGTTTATATCGAAAATATAAATATAAAAATAAATACGAGGTGGAAAAAATTGCGTGCGCTATTAAAAAATTATTACCAATACCATCATTTAAGAATGAGGGAAAAAAATTTTACGCGTATTGTAAAAAGAGAAGTTTTCGTATGGAAAATTATACGGAAATAAGTATCATTTTAAAAAAAATATCCGACAACAGTCAAAGTGACGAAGAGCTCGAATATCAGAGCACGAGGATTCCTTCCTTTCCTTTCAGTTTAGTTTTATACCGTAAAAGTTTCTAGAATTTTCAATTTTTTTTTTTTTTATTTTATTTTATTTTTATTTATTTATTATTTATTTATTATTATTATTATTATTATTTAATTTTTTTTTCTCGTTGTTTGTCTCGATTTATAAGTCGTATTATTATTATTTTTAAATTTTAAAGTTTGTTAATGTGTCATGTGTTAATTTTTTTAAAATAATTAATTAATTAATTAATTTAAAAAAAAAATTACGTGAGTGAAAATTTTTTTTGTTTTTTGCATAACGGTTTTCGAATCAATTTGAATTTTACGTTTTTTTTTTTTTTGCGGTTAAAAAAAGTTTTTTTTTATTCTTTAAAAGCTTAAAAAGTAAATAAGTGATTATTTAATTAATTAATAATTAATTATTTTATTTATTTTATTCGGATTTAATTTATATTTGTTTAAAAAAACGAAAAAAAAAACGATTCGAATTATATAAATGCGTAGACATATTTGATTTATAAAAATGTCGTTATTTTTCTTTTCAATACTTGAAAATCTATTAATTATTAATTAATAAGTATAATTTCAATTAAATAATCTCTCACCTGTAGGTTTTTTTAATAAAAGATAAAAATTCAAAATGGAAGGAATGAAAAATTCGTTTTTTTCTTTTCAAATAAATTTTGCAACAGTGCCGAACGAAATTTTTTTTTAGTTCGTTAATGACGTCACAATTTTTTTCTGTCAGACATTTTTTTTTTTTTTTTTTTTTTTTT